CTTTATTGTCCAAGTTTAACAGTCTTATGCTAACAATAATTGTGTTATTGTGTTGGAATGTGTCACGAAAAAATAAATGATTTCGCCTCTTTCTTTCCTGCTGTCGTAGCAACGGACACAGTCTCCACTTCTGAGACTGAAAAAAACTGCCTTCCTTCTCATTCCAGCCTTTCACATAGAGCTTGGTAACTCACCTATGCAAAACACCAACAAGCCAGCTACCAATCACAGTTCCATGCCTGCCCACCTCCACTCACTTTGGGGGTGTCAAGTTGACCGACCAACTCATTACACGCCCCCCTGATCTTAAGATCACAAAGCTTCTCAGTTAGAGAGATGGTCGCGTGTCTGTCTAGTGACTGCATCCACATATATACAACTTGCATGCTTGACATATTGGGATAACCACACATGCGCCAACTTGTTTTGTTCCGAGGTGGCAGATTTCCAGATTCATCCCATATCTCGCTGTCATGATCGCACACCATGCAACTTCGGGCAGGCCTCTCCTGCGGGCACTCCTTCTGAGCCGGGATGACAGGGTCCTCATCCTCGGATGAACTCTCATCCGTTGAGCTACCATTCGCCTCTGGACAGCTGGCCACGTTGGCGTCCATTGGTAGAGGTACTGATGTTTCCAAAATACATCACTCACGCTTCTTCAGAGTCACTTTCCATCAGCCATTTTAGTATGTCCAAGTTTTGTCTGCTCCACTGTTGACAAATTGAACCGACTAAGGGCTGACCTTGAACATGCCCCAATCTAAAGCTAAAAGCTGCGGGGTCTTAACACGACCTATTCCATTGATTTAGCTTGCACCTTAATCCGGAGCAGTGAGCAATGCCTCTTTAGGCGTGCACCATGCTTGGTGCTGGAGAAGAGACCCGTCTTTAGGCATCACATCCCCATTCTGCTTTGGGGATCAAACATCCGGCTTCCTGGCTGAAATCACTTTATGACATTGGCTCCATTCTGCTATGCGTTTCCTTTCACGCCCGCGCCAGAACTGAAGCATTGCCCTTCTTTAAGAACTGCAAGAATTCTTTGAAGAAAAATTATCTGTCCCTGGTGTCCCCGGTCGCAAAAGTGGACTCAATTGCCGTATTATGCTGGATGGCTGCGGTGCAATATCCTCTTCTAAGCAAGAGGGTCCACAGTCAATTGGTCAAAACCACTGGCTGCCAACTGGTTCATCTATCCTCAGCCTTTCGAAACATGGATAGCACTCAGGCTTCCTTTTTGGTCAACAATTGATTGAGTGTCATGTCTTCCATTCTGGATGATGCACGGAGTATCTGCTTAACATGACTGTTCATGCAATCCAGACATGAAGGCACAGGTCATCCATTCTTCAGGAACTGGTGTGATCAGTTTTATGTCGAAGCTTCTTTAATTCCGCCATCTTGCTAGAGACAAAGTAAATGCCCGAAATAGCTTGTGTTGGAATGTGTCATGAAAAAAAATTATTTCGTCTCTTTCTTTCCTGCTGTCGTAGCGACAGACACAGTCTCCACTTCTGAGACTGAAAAAAACTGCCTTCCTTCTCATTCCAGCCCTTTACATAGAGCTTGGTAACTCACCTATGCAAAAACACCAACAAGCCAGCTACCAATCACAGTTTCCGCGCCTGCCCATCTCCACTCACTTTGGGGGTGGTAAGTTGACCGGCCAACTCATTACAGTTATAAAGTGTTATTTTTGCTGTGTTACATTAAGACAGCCGAACAAACAGAAATTAGATTATAATAATATCAGTTAAACAAATTTTCACAAAAATGTATTTTATTGCTTTTGTTAATTTAATTAGTTATAGGTATCTTTCTTAGTATATTCTCCTCACTTCTTCCAAATTTGGCAGCTTTGGTGATTTTCATATTTATATTTTCTGGATAGGCGATATTATTATTATTATATTGTACTGAGAAGTGTTAAATATTAGAAAATATAGGTATATTGCAAAAAATATTATTAACCTAATAAGTATCATCTTATTTTCAGTGAGGAAATTGTGAAGAGTAGTGATTATTTGTATCCTAAAAGGACATATTATATAATAACATAAATAAGAACAATACTTAGATGAATATTGAACTACCAAAAATTCCTTTCTTTTTTATTTTAAAATCGCAATTTACACATTGGAAAATGATCTTGCTTAAGCAAATCCTACAGAAAAGTTGCAAATGCAATGGTTAATTCATCAAATTAGGACTTTTATGATTATTTGTTTTATTCATTTATGAACATATGAATGGCCATTTTACACCTGTGAAGAGTAGGGTCAAAAAGTCTGTTTTCTTAAAAACTTAATATATGGCATCAATTTTCTAGAAAATAGTGAAATTTTGAATTATATTTGCCATGTCCGTTCAAATGCTAAAATGTTGTATGGAAATATTTTAGCATCTGTTTACTTCTTAGATATGTTTTTAGTATTTCTGCTCTGAACTGATTACTTAATTGACAATGACAGGTTTCATTGAATTAAATTGCTATTTCTTGTTCTTCATCAGTAAACACTGCTGTATGTTCCCACGTATTTAATATTGCCAAATATTTTATTCATTTAACATGTCAGTGTAATGGCTATCAGCATCAAAAATAGAATCAAAAAGTGAAGTTCAAACTCCAGCCTAGTCTGTCCCATCTACTTTTTTTACTGATGTCCTTAGGAAAGGCATGAAGCCATCTCTTCCTCCTAAAAATGACTTAAATAGAAGGATAGAACGAACTCTCTCTAGCCTTGGATGACAGCCAGTCTAGAGGGACAATTCTGAAATTAAAACCATGGAGAAAGCAACAACAAATTTTTAATATATTTTAATATTTTTTAAGGATTACACACTCTATAATTATATAATTTAGTTATTTGTGGTCATTTTGCTTAATTTATGATAGCAAAAACATGTCAAAGTACTGAAGGATTGTAATGACACATGTATTGGTGTTTTGCAGATAGTCATTTCATTCATTATTTTCTTTGGCTGGTCTGACAAGTCATAGCTGCTGCTGCTACTACTGCTACTCTATTTATATTATATACCTGGACTTAGTTGTAAACAAGTAGGCTCATGTTGAAATTTTGCTCAGAGAATGGACAATTTTTACTTCTTAAAAATTTTGTTTCATGTATACTTATTAATGTACTTAACTAGATGTAATTTTAACTGGGGTTAGCCTTACAACTATTCAACAAACTGTATAAATTTGAATGTGTTAATTATTTTTTTAAGCAGTTTTTAATTTTTATTTTTAAGCTAAACTAGGCCTGCCCCCAATACTCTCTCATCAGCAGAAATGTCACTTTATTGACTGACAAAAAAAAATTTACAAGAAAAGGATAGTGCAAAATTTTACAAAATATTTAAATTGTTTCTGTCTCATGCCTTCTTCTGTTGACGGAAAAATCAGACTCCTGCAAAAATGTTATCAGAAAAGGGGAAAGTCTGAAAAATATCTATAGTGTTTGTTTGGGGTACAACTCTGATTATAAATGTTATATAAGACCTGAGTTTGTTGGACCAATGAACATGGCCAGATTTTGTCTGTTTTGCTGAGTCTGTAATGACATTGTTCTTGGGTTGCTTTGTTATGTCAATTACAGGCATTGCAAATTGTTGAAGAGCTTCTTTTAACTGTCAATTGCTACTGTACCTGTAAGAGCATTTTGCTCAATGCTGAAGTAGTATGTGAAATGGTCCCTAGTGTGTTGAAGAAATTTCTAAAAATGTCTAGAGGGAGAATTCTGAAATTAAAACCATGGAGAAAGCAACAACAAATTTTTAATATATTTTAATATTTTTTAAGGATTACACACTCTATAATTATATAATTTAGTTATTTGTGGTCATTTTGCTTAATTTATGATAAGTATGTGAAATGGTCCCTAGTGTGTTGAATAAATTTCTTAATTGAGTTCCTTCAGATGAAAATGAATTTGCTTGAAGAGAGATACTTGGATATGTAAGTGTCCTTTTCAGCTTTCCTGGTCTTTGTGTAGTGTAAATTGTGCATTGTTAATTTTGGGTTTTGCACCAAATTATTTGTAGATTGTATATCTGGTGTGTCAAAGAAAAATTGTTCCAGCAAAGTCAATTGAGTGACATTGACTAATTCTGACATGGTAAGTCCTTTTTAACAATGGATCATAGAGCTAAGAGGATTAGGCGTCAATTCTCAATCTATTTCATTGAGTTAGGGTAGGCAGCTATCAATGCTTTTAGCTGTCTATGGAAATATTCTACTTGTCACATGGGAAATTGACAGTTGCTAAGCATTAGTGTTGATTGGAATTGCGCTTCTCTATCTGTTGTGATCTTACTTGGAACACTTAAAGTGGATAAAATTAAAATCTATAAGTTCTGTGTAATTACTTTGATTATGGTTTCACAGAGGATGACTGCCATTGGTCATTTTGCAAAACAGCTGATCATCATTTAAATGTCGGTTTATCCATATGATGGTAGTAGAGCTCTAACAAGGTTGACATGTATGTCTACAAAACAATAGTCTGCTTTGATAAATTTTTGATTTTTGTATGATTGTGCATTTTGTTTCTTTGATAAACAACTCTGCATCCAAGAACATCTGTTGATATTGAACCAGATAAAGTGATCACTGATTAATTTCAATGTGGTTTTTCTACCAGGGGCTACCATGTTATGACTGTCCAGAGATTTTTGTTTTTCTTTTTCATGAAAAAATGGTCTGTTTTGATGTGGAAGTATCTCACTGGCCATTTTGGTGAAGTTGCTGTTCATATCTGCAGAGAGGATTAGTCTTGTTTCTGTGCTTACATATTGATAATCTATTTAGAATCGCTTATTGAGATGAACCATTTTCAATTTGATTCTTAAAGCATCAGTGATTATTCAGTACTTCCAGAAGTTATTAGTGGAAAATTGGGCTATTATTTTCAAATTGAAAGTTTTCTTTTGCTTTATGGATGGATAGGGTTGGATTAGAATTTAAATTTTAAAATTTAGAGAGATCAAATGCAATGTTTTTCCTTTTCAAATTGTTACATTTTTTTGTAGGTGCCAAAAAACGAACTAAGGAAATAAAACGAGGATCAAAAAAGAAACGTAAAGTTGAAGGGGGTGAAAAAGACAGTGTAAGTATCAAGATTAGTTGTTTTTCTTATCTAATGGTTTTTGCATCATTTTTCTCTTATAATATTCATTTTTTAATTTTGTTTATACCTTTTGTGTAAATTATATTTTACTTCAACTCATATCTAATAATGTATTATGATGCAACTAATTTAACACCTTCAGCACCAAAGGCAGTTAATTAACATTTACAGTGTCAAATATTAATTACATAATATTTCCCCTTTTGTGAAATTCATGCTTTGTCTTCATTTTGTCTTTTGCAAACTGCTTTGTCAATTATCTGCTTTCCAAAGGCATATACCCCAATCTTTGGGGTATATGCCTTTTTTTAATTATTAGCTTACATATCTCATGTAGAATACAGATTACCATTGATAAAATCAGATGCAATAGATGTAAATAGTTGAATTTGTTACATTATTTCCTTTTTTATTATGACAAAATGTAATTCAGAATATTACATGAATAGTTTAAGGTTGAAAATCACATGTCAGCAATAAAAAAAAAAATGTTGTTGCTGAAAGTGAAATTATCTGTGTAAGATAATGCCTGTTATCAATCACTGAAACAATGTAAGTTGATTCAAATTAATGCCATGTGACTATTAGAAATGAGTTCAAATCTAATCAAAAATAATTTTTCTAAGATATTTACTAAGTTTTGTTTAGTTTGACTTAAGAGTGTAGCATAGTGTATGGCTGGGTGGAGACTCTGGATGAGATATTGCACAATGTTAGAAAATGTCTTTATATTAATTTTTGGAGAGTTAATTCAATTTCAGTATTGATATTTATTTTCCCTACATAAATTTAACAAACCAACAACATTTCATTTTCCTCAGTTAGTTACAATTTTGGTAACTGTCATTTCTTTATTTTCCCATCTATTTTCAGCTTTGGCATTTTCAGCAATTTTTTTTTTTTTTTTTTGAATCCTATAACTATATCAGTAACAATGTTTCATTGCTAAAATTGGGTGATTAATGAAATTGTGACATATATTAGAGCAAACCTAAAAACTGTATAATATTATAATTCTAATAAGTTTTTTATTTATTTTTATCCTCAGGATGAATCGAGCTCGGATTACAGTGAAACTGGTGATGGTACAAACTTTTCTTTGCTTTGCACATTATCAGCTTGAACTATTACTGATCTGTAATTGTAACATTTCTTTTTAATAGAATTTAGAATGTTTTATAGTGACAATAATTTCTATCCAGAATTCCAATAATGCATAGACAAGTTTCTCATATCCTTATTTTCTGTATTCAAACATTTTTTTCTTTTATAAGTGAACACTGTCAGTAGAACTTCATTTTTAGCCAATTCCTATCTTAGAACATACCAAACATTGAAATTGTTAAACTTCAGTTTTTCTGAAAATTCTGAAGCAAAATTGTATTAATGATCTTTATACAGAAACTTAATGGCACTTTGAAAATTTAATTAGAACTTGTTCTGGCTAAAATCCTCCAACAAAATTTTCAAATTGGTAAGAGTTAAAGTACATTCTTGCTACCTTCTGCAAACTCTGAGTCTGGATTGTTGTTTGTTGTTCTTTATAGGCAATCATGGCTCTCCACAGCTTTCTATCTCTTGTAGCTCTAGGCAACATTTTACTTTTTATTATCCCTTTGTCCCCATTCTGCCATCTATTCATACACACTCTTTTCATGCTGTTTCCCCTCTCTCTCTCTTCTTCTCCCAATATGTCCTGTTAATATTCATTTTTCCTAAGACCTCTTTCCTCATAATGTGCCCCCAGAAATTTCAACTATCTTTTTTTTCTCAGTTATAAGTGTCTTTCTAGTTCCCCAATTTCTTTTTTTTTAACTTTCTTGTTCATATGTTCAGTCCATGGTATTTTCAATGTTTGCCTGTACAACCACATTTGTCACTTTTCAATGTCTTCTTCATTTGTGAGGTAATTTTTCCTGCATTCATTGCTTTATAGAAGGATAGATATTACTTTCTTGCTAACAAAATTTTCCTGTCTTAATACTTTGTTAATTTTTGGAAGTCATCTTTTGATATTCAGTGTATCTTGTCACATTTTCATTTATCTGCTACTGCATTATCCAGATTGTTAAATTTCTATACTAATTTGATTCTGATTTTGAAGTGCATACCTTTGTTTGTCTTTCATGACAACTATACAGTCTTTCTTCTTATAGTTAATGTTCAGTCCTTTCTTTTCACTTTTTAGGAATTTTTGCAGTTCCCTTGTGAGTTTGCCATCAACACATTATCATCTGCACATCTTATATTATGATTATGGCTGCTGTTTGTTCACAGTAAATGTTACAGATTATCCATATATCTATCCTAGCAGGTCAGATTTCTTGTGTTATATCTTATCAAATGCTTTTGTGTAATTATGACTAACAGTCCACATGAAGTCCCAGTGGTTTTTCCTTAAGAATATTAGCTCTGAATTATTTCCAATCTTAGTAAAATTGTTCAACCACTCCCTAAAGGAGAAATTCTTCCCAAGGCTATGGAAGGTGTCAAGAATGCAGGTGAGTGCTCATCCCTGTCTCAATATTGGCTCATCACCAAAATGTGAGCCTATAATCAACAATAAAGTTGTTGAGCATCTCTACAATCTCTTAAGTGGCAAACAATATTGATTTTGATTTGCTTGGTCCACTGCTGATATTTTATTACTCACAGAATCAGCAATAAACACAAGTGAGAATGATCACTTTAAACATATTGAAGGCTTTTGACAAGAGGGTTACTACAGAAGCTCTCCAGCTATGGAATAACTGGAAGAGTTTTATCAATTATCAAGTCCTTCCAAAACTGGTAGGTCATTCATATGGTTGTTAATAGCCAGCCCATGAAATCGATGCAGGCATCCCCTAAGGTTTGCTTCATGGTTCAAACCCTCTTTCTACTTTATATTAATGATCTAAGAGTATACCCTGATCTATGCAGATGATACAATAGTATATGGTTGCACCTCCAAAAATCTAGATGACCATAGCCTGGCAGCTGATCTTTCCTCTGACCAAACTCTTAACAGCTCAAATTGGAACTGGCTGGTCACATTCAGTGCCTCAAAAGCTAAACTTGTAATGTTCTCTTATCACTGAGCAAGCCCTAAATTTTCACCTATGATGAATGGGTGTTCTTTCAAGGAGACCCCTTCTTCACCTTGAATGCTCACTCCAGACCAAATAGAATTCACATATGATTTACTGCTAAAGATGCTGGAAAAAGGGTCAGTTCCCTGTACTGTCCCATAAGTACCTGACTCCTCCTGCTTATGCTCTGCCTTTGAAAGATCCAGATCGGGCTGAAAATGGAGTAATGCTGCTATATTTGGGCTGGAGCTGCCCAGTCTTCACTTTTGAGTCTTGATAATTGTTTTCCACCTCACAACCCTTTCCCAATAGATGCAACATTGCAAGCCTCTTGCTACTCTGTTGCTATTTCCATGGGAAATGTTCAGACATGTTACATTCCTTAGTTCCTCCAATTCTAACTCTCCCAGCTAAGACATGCCATGCTGCGTATAATAGGATACTTTCTCGACTACTGAGGGTCTTAAACTTTTGAAGTCTAGGGTTAACCGTTATCTTTCTTACATATCCTTATAAACTGTGTCCTTACTGTTCATACAACTGCCACCTTCAGTAACTCTCTATCTTAAGTGGTCGTTGGACCTTCTATAGGGTGAAAATTTTAAAAATGCAATGAAACCTATGTATAGATCTTTTTGTATTGTTTGCTCTGATAGTGTTTTTGATCATGAAGATAACGTTTCTTGTTTCTGTATCTTGAACAAAACTATTGTTCTTGTTTTATTTCTTGCCTGATTCTGCTATGTGCTCTTTTCATTAGAATTCTAATTCTAAGCTTAGTTATGTGGCTCAAGTGGATGTGCATGCATCAGTTCAGAAAGTGGGATTGGAAAGCCAAGTTCAAATTCTGCCCAATGTTGTTGCAATCACTTTTGCACAAATACCCTTGAGAAAGACATGAACTGTTCTCTTCTCTTCTCTCAGCTAGGAGAGAAGAGAACAGTAGACTGTACTCTCTCACCTTGGGTGGCAGCTAGTCTGAGAAAGAAAACTGAATCCCAAAACCTTAGAGAAACTAACAGGAAACCACTTCACTATTTTCTTAAGAATGCATAGCAATTCATAGATAATAAAGAAATCTTTGGAGAGCCATGATTGCCCTGCATGCAAAAAAGACATGGCATTAACAAAACTGGCTTATTAATCTGATTGTTCGATGGAGCTCAAATTCATTTGCACCTGGTTTCTGTCATATCACAAGCAAGATAGATTGACTGAGCTTTCAGTATATCACCATTGTCATATGTTTTATTTATCATTGTTTTTTTTAAATTGATTCCCAAATCATCTAAGGCTGATAACATCTTGTCCTGCTGCTTTGTTTCTCCCCTTCTGGTCCATTGCTTATTTGACCTCATATTTAAATATTGCAGGTCCTTCTATGTTTTATGTATTGTGGGTTTCTCTTCTCAGCTGTCATAAAAATGTATTCATTCCATCCTTGAAGTGTCTCTCTTTCTAAGTGTTATTTTTTTAATACAATCTCCCTCTATGAGACTAGGGGTTTTCTTTAGAAACAAACATAAATTGGTAAGAATGTTAAAATTCATGTTAATTTTTTTTACTTTGGTTTAGAAAAAGAACAAAAAAAAGGTAGATTTTAGTAAACATTTAAGAAATTAAGGATAGCACCAATGATAAAAGTCTGAAACACTACATTTAAGTCTAAAGTGCTTTCTGCTGCATCACCCACATTTATTAAGTCTACAGTTTTTTGTTATTCTGGGTTAAAAAAAAATACTATACTATCATGAATTCCTTTATATCTTTGTGTCTAATATGTAAGCAGGAATGGTCGTAGATGTTCTCCAACATCCAGATTTTAGATAAGATTTCTATTCTAAAGTTTTTGTTCTTTAAAAAAAAACAAAAAAAAACTTTAACATTATACATAAGTAGTTCTATTCTGTTAGTAATGATTGTGTTAATTTGTAACCACCAACAGCCTCCTTTATTTTTCAATGCATTTCAATACTAAAATTATTAGCAATACATTTACATGATACATAATAATCTAATTTTGCCAATCATGCTTGACTTGATTCCAAACTATTTTCTGATTTTTTTTGGTATATAAATTGTAAAATTCTGTACTTAATGTTTCTCTCAAGAAATATTTAGTTTGTTTCTATAGAAAATGACTAAAGCAAAATTGGTGAGCAATTGTAAGGTCAGCGAACAATAACTAACATTTCAATGTTAGTTATATACTGATATTGGGTTCAAATACAATTGATCCTAAAATACAATTTTGATTTCTCCTTTTCTCTCTCTTAAGAAAATTTTGTTTTACTCTGTATAAATGTAATCATTAGAGTGAATGAAAGTTTTAGCATTTAATAAATCTTGTGATGTGTTACAAAACCAGATAGCAAAATATTTTTATCACTTGAAATCTTTCTCTTTACATTTTATTTTAGATGAAGATGATGATGACGATGATGAAGAGGAAGATGACAGCAGTGAAGAGGATTTCACAGAAGACAGTGATGACAGTGACACTGACAAAATTACTAGTAAGAAGGTGCTAAAAGCAAAGTCTGAAAATGGAAAGAACAATTCCAATTCTTTTAAGCAGAAACAAACCAAAGTTACAAAAGAACAGAAATTGTTGAAAAAATTAAAAAACAAAGAGAAAAAGGTAAGCAAAAATCAATAAGTGTTTTTGCTTAATTTTTAGTTTCAACTTGTGGTAATGAGGAAAATGTTGTACCACAGATACATGTGTATGTTGGTCATTGTTAAAACTTCCTGTTTGCAAGGTGAAACCAAATTTGAATGTTGTGTACAATATTAAATGCATTACAGTGCAAAGTAAAAATATACAGTTGATCATTTTTAAGGGTTGGAAATCAATAAAGATATTTCATTTTCAAGTCACATATTGCAATTTGATTCAGATAAAAAAATTTTTTAAAAATATATTGATAATATACATGATCCAATTTTGATAGCAAAATCATCTTTTGTGATTATCACTTCAAATAGCATTTTTTTTTCCAAACTAGACAACTTTCTATTCAATGTGTGCATGAATGTTTAAAATTGCTCAAGAAGTGCTCAATATCAAGGATAGAGCATTTGTAGATATAAACACTATGGACATAGTAATCAATACTGCATAGAGATTGGCAGTTTCACATCTTAAGGTATCATCAGACCAATAAATTGCACATTCATCTTTTTATAATGTAAAGATGTTTATAAAACTAAACTTCTCCAATTTTTATAACCTTTGCCTCCAAGTGATCACAATAAACAGCTGTTTTTTCTCTCATATATTCACATCACACAAATGAGGGTGTGCTGAAAAGTTGTTTTTTTTTCCATTTTCCTCAATGTGAGTAAATTTTTTTCGTGTTTTTTTTTTTTTTTGTCCCTTCTTGGTTGAACTGAGAATTTTTCAACATTCCCTCAAACATTGATTTAAAATATCAGTTGATTTAAAAATTAAATATGCAACATATTATTTATTGCAATTATAAAAGCAAAAAGAAAATTCCCTTGCTCATTGCTGTTGCATCCATTTCAGCAAAATGAAATTATTTCAAACTTATCAGTTCATAAATTTAGGTATTTGAAAAATAGGCAATTAGTATAAGATTTCTCATTTGTTACCATTTATATAAATCACTTCAATCAGTTGTTAACTGGGACAAGAAATAGCTTGTAAATTTTCTTTTAATCATCATAGAAACATTTTTTGCCTTCTATCAATACTTAAGGAGAGCATCTCATTGCAATTTCATGGTCTTAAGTTTTCCACTGACATGAAGTGGAGTGATTATATTGAATCAATTAAGGTCTACTGCAAGGAAAGTTGGTTCAATGTTGAAACATTGAACCAACTTTCCTTGCAGTAGACCTAGTAATTGATTCAATATAATTGATTGCCAGCCAATCTTTCTTGTCAGAATCCTTTTTACACATTTATAAATCTACCATTTGTCTATGCATTGAATATTGCTGCCATATCTGGTCTGAAGCTTTTTTTTTATTTATTTACAGTAAGTTACACAAGGGCCACTCGAGATAGATTGCATTTATATGGATAGGATGGGAAGATAACAATTGACTCTAGACTTGAAGAGGTTAAGATTGGGGAAGCATCCTCTTGGGAGTCTGTTCCAATGAGAAGTTGTTTGAGAGGAACTTATTTCTTGCTGGTGGAATACAGAGGGAATGTATCATATTTGCTACTATGTAAGTGGTATGGAGGGTCCTAGATGTGAAGGTCAGACCTTGTGGAACCAGGTGATGCCGTTCGTCTGAGCACTTTCCATGGTAGTAGTGATAGAGCAGTGAGAGACTCTCCACATTCTGCCTGTGAGAGAGAGAGAGGTTGGAGTGTGGAAAATAACTTTAACAAGGGCTCTGAGTTGCTTTTGAATTCAATCAAGACTGGAAAGTGAGGTCTGGTCAGCTCTTGCAGAAATATGGCAACACTACTCTAATTTTGGCCTGATCTGGCTTTTATAAAGGTAGGGGATAGCATAAGGAGTTAGATACTACTGGAGTGGTACAGGTAGCTGCATTGTACCTACATCTTTATTGATGGATCGTATATAGTAATTTCACTTGAGATCAGGTGTGAGTTTGTGGCCCAGTATCCTATCAAGGTACTAGGGGACATCCGTTCATTGTGACTGGTGGTTTTTTGGGGTCTGATCGGTGGTGTCGCAATGTAACCAGTTTGCTTTTAGAGATGCATTCTATGTAACCAGTCAGTTTTTTCACCACTGGGAAGTTAGTATTAGATGTCTCGAGATTCTTGACAAAATTCAAAGCAGGGTCTGTAATGTTAATTGTACTGACCTAGCATCTTGAGTTCAATCACTTTCTCTCCTCCGTGACATGACTTTCTGTCTGTCTTTTCTATAAATATTTTTATGGCAGTTGTTCTAATGAGCTCTCCTACTTGATACCTGAACAACATGAAATTAACCATACTAATAGATTGGCAACATCATTTTACTGTTGAAGTAGCTAGATGTAACCAGAAGTTCTATTCTAATAAATTTTCTTGCACTTCTCACCTGTGGAACTCTCTTCTGGTTTCTTGCTTCCCTGTCACTTATGATCTTAAAAAAATTAAATGCCATGTCAATTGCCATCTTCTCATTCTTTTTAATTCCTTTGTGTCTTGGTGGCATTATCACCTTGCTTGATTAAAAATAAAAAAAAAAAAACAAACAAAATCTGAACCATATAAAAGACTACAATTTTCTTGAGAGTTCCATTACAGCTTTGTTCAATGCATTCCATTCATGGTGGCTTGTATTATCTGCCAAATTTGAACAGCCTAAAAACATTTTTTGTTCCATCACTTTATGGTCATTTATTAGTACTTTTTTTATTATTTGTAAGCCACTCATCAATTATCAGTAATTGTTAACTTTAACTCTGCCTAAGACAGAAGAGGTGGAAGTTGTTTTTCTTGTATCTGCCTCTTAATTATTTTTTTTATTGGACTGAGATAAAGAAGTATTACTTGATTCCTTCATCATATGACTTAGAAAATGGATACCTCATTGTGGAGTGGTGAGCTACTCCATCATACCATTGTTATTTTGTAATGTGTTTGATCCTCACTTGGTGTTTCATACTTGTGACTTTTTAAAAATATTTGTATTAATATTCAACTAAATGAAAGTGCAGCATGTATTGAAATAACTGTGATTGTGTGGGAACCTGAGAAAATGAGTGGCTGACGGAATAAAAAGGAAATATAAATACAATGGGGTTATTGAAAAGATCTCAACCTAACTTAGATGACTGACCTAGACTTATAATTAAACACACTTGTAATATCTTTCAAGTTCCTTTTAACCCTTCAAAAATAAACATTTAGTTGTTGAAATATTTTAGGAAAATGGGTTGGGCTGAGAACTTTTCAGTGCCCCCTCAAATAATTTAAACAAGGCTTCTTCCTTATAATAGTGAAATTTATGAAGAAAAATTTGAAGTATTTGGTAATGTGACATCACCCTGGTCTCTCTCCACGCAGTTGCCGTACTATCCTGAGACAACCAATGTGACTTGGTATTGGTCACGACACTAAATGTGACGTTCTAACCCTTTGCCGATTCGGATGGGAATCTGGTTAGATTCGGTATCAGCTTTGTTGTTCCCAGCTTGCCTCCAACGTCTGGTTACTGAAGTAACTACTTTGATTTCTAGTCTAACCTATCCACGTTGTGATTTGATCTTAGGTAGACGAAATCAATCAGTCACCGGGCCGCAATGCAAGCCAAGTCTGAGCAAAGGTAACACCACACAAGTATATGTAAAAGAAAATAAAGTAACAACTCAAAGTTCAAATGTGTTAAAAAAAAGAATAACAAATATTTTTATATCTGGTTGCTGAATACAGGACTGCATCTTTCTCCCAAACCGCTAATATGGATTCGTGATACTTTGTGTTTGTTAGGCGAGTCTTAACATCTTAAGTTGTTTTTTTAAGAAACTGTTTTTTTCTGTATCTTCAGGTGATATTCGTAAAACTTGTTTTGGTGGTGTGAGTCTAAGTCATTCTTCAAAAATAAATTGTTTTTGGTTAGAAGTTGAAGTCGGGATGCGTGGGTCTTCAGTCAGCTTCCTGCGAGGTTGGTCTCAGAGCTCACAGCTCAACTCTGCGTCTGCGTCTCTCCAACTACTTTCTCTTTAACTACCTTCTACTCGCTGCAACTGTTTATATGGACGTCGACCAAAACCGGGTGTGGGCTTGTCGTGGTTTGGGGTTCCTCGATAATTCTAAATCCACAATAAGGATTTTCTTTGTTTTTGGACAGGAAAATTTATTACTTTTCATTTTTGGAAGTCCATTACTTTCTGCTTTAAGGGAATTGTCCTCCCAAATTCTTCCTTTCTCTCACACCAATCCCATCAGATATTTTATCTCACACCAATCCCATCAGAGGGTGTCAACAGGTTTCCTTCTCTCTCTCATAGTGGTATCTCACACCAATCCCCTCAGAGGCGTCAACAGGCCTTCCCTCCTTTCTCATAGTTTGCCTTCAGCCTTCCGCTCACGCCACCATTCAGCCAATGAACGCCCAGCAGCATGGGTGTGGCTAGACTGGCCTCAGTTTAAAAATTTCGCTCAAAGGAAAAAAAAAATTATCTTTTTTTTTTTTTTTTTTTTTTCTTCTTTTTCTTTTTTTCACCAGACCCCTATGACTCTTACTGTGGTCCTTAATCTCTATCTTAACCGAATTTCACCTGGAATTCAACGACGAGATTTTTGTCAAATAATCATTGGGGTTGGTCAAGTGAATCTTGGTCAAGTGAATCTCTTTGTCTCCTTAATGCCTACGTGCTCTCGTCACCAAAATCTGTCCAGGCAACAAATTCTTATCATGGCCAGCTCTGACATAAAACAGGTGTTTTTCCCAAAACCAAATGATATCTCCGAAGGATAGTTAATGGTTTATTCTTTTCCTTTCTCTTTTCCCTTCCTTTCTTTTTTTCTTTGGCGGTGGTCTTCAGCTGACGTCTTTCTCGGTCAGTGTGAGACCTGATTACCATTATCTCCCAGCTTCTGTTTCATAGGGGCCACTTGACCAATTTGAAATTTTCATTATTGCCATGGGCAGATGGCTATCTTTTATTCACCGCCTTGTAGCATAAATTAATTCGACAGATCCGAGATCTTATGAATTTCCTATCTTCCGCGAAAGAAAAAAATACTTTTTCTTTTCGCAAAGGAAAATAAAATCTTTACCACTTTTCTTTGTTAAAAAAAAATAACATCGCTCAGTATGTCTTTTCCTGATAGCTTCTTATCGCCTTAATTATTTCAGCTTCTCGCTTTAATTATTTCTCGCTTTTAATTTTCACGCGACCGCTAAATAGTGTCACAGTAACAAAGAGTTCATTCAGTTTAAGTAAGATGACTTTATTTTTTGTATTGATATTGTTGTCCAGCATATTCACCGTTTTGTTCCTGCCATCTTTCAACCAACTTCATAAATTCATTGTCAGAATATTTTATTGTTCACAGCAAAGAATTACTCTCACCACTTTTGCAGTCTCCTAGGAGTGATTTTTTTTTTTTTATATATACAGACAATTCTGTAAAGTCTGGAATAAATGGTAATTTATGCACTATTTAGTGACAACAGCAAATGAATGAAAAATTTGCAGCCAACTCGTAAGAATTTTTGCCTGGTCACCAAAGAAATGTGTGGTCTATCATTATTATACTACCTAGAGTTGGTTTAATTGGGAACAGCACAAGTTTGAATGAGTTGTTTGCTTCTCTATGAGGAGCTTATAGCAAATTCTCTTCCGATCATTTCATATACACAGCATCACTTGTTTAAAAATGAAGGATTTGGTATGATTTGTAGTGTTTCTTTTTACTTGATCCATGATCCAAGTATCCTTTACTTTTAGTTGCATATGGGCTAGTAGAATTTTTTTTTTTTTTTTGCATGTGTATGTGGAAGCCACACATCAAATCACCTAACATAACCAAGCTGGTGTAAATAATCTGGATATTTTAATGCTGTTGGCCCTCTCTACAACAACATTCACTTATAACTAGTCTCTCTGGACAGTGAAATAACATTCATTGATAAATCTCCATTGTGCTAAGCACTTTTAACATATTCAGTCTTTCACATTATCTTCTCCTTAGACTACAGTTATTCATTTTTCCTTTTATTTGTATTTCAGTTGCATTTTTACCTTAAAATAAAACAAAATTGTAATTTTCCTGAAAATGTTACTTTTCTTCTATCATAACTGTTGGAAACAAACACTGATGGCTTTCAGAATGGAGTACAAAGGAAGTTTTCTGAATTAAGTTAAGACTAAATATTCTTACAAAACACTTTAGCTTAGCATGGTACAAGGACACAAATATAGGGCACATGGGATAAAGTTTATTTTTCATTTCTATATTACACAAAAAAAAAAAATGTCACCATTGATCATTTCACCCACCGCAATATCACGTATAAGCACTGGTTCCTCTATGATCACTGAATTTAAGCAACACCAAGCCTAGTCAGTACCTAGATGGGTGACCACTTGGGAGTACCAGGTGTTTTCTAAGCTTGGATAGTGGGGGTGTAATTGGTAACAGTTCAAAACTGGAAATCAAGGAGCTGAGTTACATTTTCATTTGTGTTCATTATATTAACTTACGTGCAAATTCCCTTGGGAAAGGTATGAATGCACCTGTTTTCCCTCCAGCTATGGGTCATTGTTAAAAATTCAGGATAATAAAATATTATATTGTCTATAATTAGCATTAATTAATATTTGTATGTTCTTTTCCTCCATTAACTACTAAAAACCAAAATTCCAATAGTTTGTCATTTATTGATTTTCTGTTAAAAATGTAAGTAAATTTGTATTGTGCATCAAAGGGAAGGAACAAGCATAAAAAAATTATCGTAGTGCTCTCCCTTGTTTTTACTGTTGTCTCAATTGGTTGGGGATTAAATATTAGTTTTTTTTTTTTTTTCCAACCCTATTTCTCTTTTGCATTTTGAATTAATGATGCAATTTTATTTTTTTATGTATAAGTACAAATTCTACTTAGACTCTAGAAGTTTTCGTTAAAAAATAAATGTTCATAATTGGCATAATGCAATTCATGTCATAATAAAGTTCATGTCTACAAATTAGTATTAAACTTCATTACATCTCCAACAGAAATACAAATATTTGGTTACCTAGTGAGGATAACCCTCAGCAATCGTTAGTTTGAATAATTTGTTAGTCATTACTGTGTCCAGAGTTAAATAGGTAATTATATCTCTGATGTGCATATGTAGATAAAACATTTAACAATATTTAAAAGTTCACTAATATAGTTTTAATATTGGTGAATGTTTTCAGCATTAAATTGTGGCTGGTATATTATTTTTGTATATTTTGTTTTTGCTTAAATTGTTGAAATAGGTGAGGGTTTTTTTTTATTGCTGTTGCTTAGGTTGAAAATTGATTTTAGGATCAACGCTAAAGTTTATTTGATGTTCTGATACAAAATTATTAAACTTGTCAGATCTTTTTTAGCAAGAACAATATTTGCAAAGAAAATTGCAATGTTGTTTCATTTTTTTTTGTTTTGCTACTTATCAGTTTCTTTCAGTCTACAGAGTGGAAGATTCATGTGCTGATTTAAAAAATATTCATAAGTTTTCTTCATTAAATATAAAAATTTAATGAAACATGACATTAATTTTGCTATTACTAACATGAAGCAAATGTTGTTTAATTATTAAATAAAAATGGGCTCTGTATTCTTTGTCCTTTTTGTATTTGGAAAATTACACAAAATATTACTAAAAAAAAAAAGACACAAAATTCTAATTTGAATGTTTTTTTTTGTTTTTTTTTTTTTCAGTATACATTTTGTGTTTAGATTAACATTGTGTCTTTCAGATTTAATCAAATTAGATTTTGATGAGTGAAACAGAAAATTTAAAATATTTATTTTTAGACAATACTACAAATTTCATTTTGATTTTAATCAAAAGAATGGTAACTGATTAAGCTTTAATGCAATTATGATTGTGGATATTTTCTAAGTTTCAATTTGTCTTGTACAGGACTGCTGAATTGAGACAGTTATTGATGATCATGTAAAACACCAATGAATGGTTTGAGACTGCTAACTATTATAGTTTTTTATTCACTTGTTAAAGAGGAACACTCATGAAGACAATGTTTCTTGGAGATTGTTTTTAAAATAAATGTATTTTTATTAGTAAAAAGGTTTAAACTTTGAAACATTTTATTCAGAAATGATAAAAATAGGAAATATTTTAGTCCGTGATGTACTATGATTATTTACTTTACTCATTTGCTTGTGATTCATATTAAACTCTTTTTATCTCTTTTTAAATAAAGATAAAAATCTGTTTCTATTGTAAAAATTTCTAAATATTAAAATTTTAGCATATATTACGCTTAGTGCTATTAGTTTCAAGAAAATAATAATGTTGATAATGCCAGTTTTTATTTTGGGAACAGACATAATATAATTCAAAAAGTAGATCATTTAACAATTTGTGATCTGCTAGAAAACTTATAATTTCAGAGATGTACTGTGAAGATAGAAATTCTTCAATGGACAGCAAAAGGTCTACATTCTAACAACCAACACATGAGTGCAAGAAGGTCATTCAATGAAACTAGTTACCAAAATAAGTCCCTATCATTCATTTTATATTTAAAAAGAAAAAAGTGGAAATTTATTATTTAATCACTGAGCTTAAAAGGAGTTACCTCTAAATAGTCAATATTTGATTTCTTATTAAATTTTAGCCTGAGCCTGTTAATATTATCAAATTAATACTCATCAACTAAAAACAATTGAAATGGCATTGATTCTATTTTCTGATTTTCTTGTATGTTTCCTTGTTCGGTTTGTCAATAGTGGTTTTCATTCTTGTTTTAACAATCTGCTGAATAAAAATGAAAATATATTAAAATCATTCATGGTCCTTGTTAATCAAAAGTGAATGATGACCATGTGTGTACTTTTTTTTTTTCTTTTTGTGTGGAGTTGGCTATTTGAAAATTGTTCAACAAACAAGGTCCCAATTCTATAAATGTTTATACATTTACAAATATACATAACTGAAAAAGGTACAAGCAAATTATATTTAACTGCTATATAAAATAAATCAATAGTCATTTATTTATTAATAAATTTCTGAGACTCAGACAAATATAAAATTATAATCGTAATGCTGTCAAATTTTGTAATTGATTTACAAGATATGAGGGCTAATTTTTAATATTTTAATGTTCAGATTTAATGATGGGGATTTTTCTCCAGAGAGTGAGGAAAATGTTTTTTTATTCTATTTGGTTTTTGAAACAGGAGAATATTATTTAGCTCTTCTCTTAAAGGAAGATTTGGTTGATTTTATTTAGCCGCATATCAACATTTATAGGTTATTTAATACTGAAATCTAAATATTTTGTATGCCTTCAACTACAGATAAAATGTATTGTTGGTAATTCTATTATAAATAGGTATTGTTGGAGGTTGTGTGTGTGTGTGTGTGTATATATATATATATATATATATATATATATATATATATATATATATATATATATATATATTATTAAATTTTTTTTTTTACATAAAAAAATGTATTACTAGTGCCTGTCTATATTTCTGAGATGAGTTATTATGTACACTATTTACATTATAAATACTAGAAATACACTACTTACATTATTCGGACTATTGTCCTCATCTTTATTGCCATATTTATCACGTTTTGACCGTTGTATGCTCTGGCCTTCAGGTGGTTGGAATGGGTCCTGTCACTGGATCTAACCAACGCCTGACAGAACTCAAAGAGTTGAGTTCAATACCTGGAGAGGTAAAATAACAGGAGATCACTGATAACTGACATCCATTAGATATGGAACTAGAACGATCTACCTCAGTGAGCAAAATAAAGGGTTCTGTTCGACATTCCAACCACTTGAAAAAGGCCAGAGCGTACAACGGACGAAACGTGATAAATATGGCAACAAAGATGAGGACAATAGTCCGAATAATGTAAGTAGTGTATTTCTAGTATTTTTATACTTTTATAGTGTTTTGCTTTTTGTGTGTGTGTATGTGTGTGTGTGGGGGGTCACTATTTGTCCATAGCTGGGACCCTAACAGGTGCAATCATCCCAAGTCAGGGTGAACTGGGGAACAACAGCAATGTTTATTTGCTGGTGTATATTTTTTAGTTTGGCAGGTAAGTAAATGTGGGATGGGATTCATTGGGACATTGTCTTGCACTAATTTATTATTTTTTTTTAACTTAGACCCTAACGTCACCACTGGTGCCACTGGAGGACAGACTATTACTGTCTTTTTGAAGCATCTCTCTCTCCCTCCCTCTCTACATGTACTTGAAAATTGAAATATTTCAACAAAGTTATTAAAAAAAGATTTATTACAACACTAAATATTTGTCATATAATACTAATACATTTCTCTTGTTTTTTATGTTGTTAGTTAATTACAAGCAGAATTGAAATTGTCAGTGTAATTTACTATTTGATAATTAGAACTTATTCAACTTTGTAAGACTTGTAGTAAATTTATCCCTTACAAGAGAGAGAAAAATAAAAAACACTTCAGCTTACGGGGGGGTTCAATTTTAACTTTGAGATAACACATGCCAATATTGCAATTTCATGAAAGTAATTTTTATTATATATATATATATATATATATATATATATATATATATATATATATATATGTATGTGTTATTATACAAGAGAAATTAAATTGTCTTAACCAAATTAAAATTTAAATTAAATTAGAAATGAAAATTTATATAAAAGTATTTATCCCAGTCACCTTGATAACCTGCATGATAACTTAGAATGAAAAATTTTTTTTTCTTTTAACATTTAAATCAACCATCATGTTTTCTTTCACACACAGCAGGATGTGTTGTTACTTTAATTTAATGAGTATACACTTTTTTTTTTTTCTCTCTCTCTCTCTCTTTCCATTGCTACTCATTAATATGCTGAGAAAACTGCAGGCCTTAAGATACGGCTATAAAACACAAATATCTGTTTGTCGATTTCCTTCAATCCTCCACTCCTCCTTGAATTGCAGGAATCCCTAGAGGTTGATTGCATAACAAGATACAATCAAGGAACTTATCAGTTTGCTTTAACTGATGTGTGATAAAGGGGCTTTAATAAATTGTGCGTAGCTCCTTTGGTATGTGGTGTTAAGGCATGATGATGATGGAAATAGGTGGAAAATTCTGGTGGTTGTCTGTAGGTGTTTTTGTGATGTTTGATAGCCCACTTGGGGGAACAGGGATTTCAATTAAGAAACTTGGGATAAAATTTGAATTTATATATGCATAAAGGCTATTTTTAATTATTTCAACATGGATTCTTTTACTTAAAACATTGTTAAAAAGATATTTGACTAACTTATCTCTCTGACTGTTAAGGTAAATGCTATAAATGTGAAACATTCAATATTTGAGATATACTCTTTGAACATTTAAGGTTTTTTTAAATTAATGTTTAAGTAAAAGAAAAGATTTTCAACTGCCTTTCTCTTTTAAAAGATGTGACTTTTTTTATGTGTTAAGCACATCATATTCTTTTAGAAAAATTTCTGATGTTTTGTCTAAGAAGTAATGAATACATACTTGGACTATGTTGCTGTAGTGCTTATCCCATTTACTGTGCTTACAAATTGAACTAAACAAGTACAATTTTGACAGCAATAAGTCTGTTGTACTTTATTTAAAAAATGTATCAAATATAAAAAAGAAAAAAAACAAGTTTGGTGGGGATACATTTACTAATCTATGTAAAGATTAATAAATCTGAATATTTGATATTAAAATGTTTCTACAAAATATGATTAGCATTTTCTCTTCTAAGCATTTGTTTAATAATAGAATTTGATACCTAATAACCAATTCTAGCTGCATTTTAGAAAATGAGGTATGGAATTGTTGAACAGTCTGTTTGGGGCAGTTTGTTTTTATTCTGTCCTTAGTAAAGGCATCAATTCAATTTTCCCATAGTTATTGGTTAATAAGATAGTTGGAGCCATTTATCTTTGCCTAAGAATGTCCATCTTGGGTGTTAAGCTAGCAATTTTGCCTTGTAAAAATTTGTTACTGAAGCTGCAGCAGCATTGCTTGGTATAATTGTAGCTGTGTGCTTGCAAGGGAGTATGCAAGAATAAACACACATGCAAATAAAAGTAAAAGTGGACATTGAAGTCAACTCCCAGAGGCGACAGTCTGTTTCATGCTCTGGGTGTTGACTTCAATGTCCATTTTTATATTTACATACACTATCCCTGATATTGAGCACTTTAACCCATAAGTAATTAGTTATTAGCTGAATTTTTATCAGGAACTTTCACTGTATAATGGAATAGTGAAAAGTTCTTGGACCATGTCACTTTAAATATTTAGCATTTGAATGACCACATAATTTAAAAAAAATACCTTTTTGTTCAAGTGGAGAATTTTTTAGCACCTTTTGAGTATAATGTTTAATTGAGGATTCATATTTATCAAAGGAAGTAGAATGTGGTAAATGTGCAAAATAAATTCTGGTGTAAATGTTAAGCAGAGTCTAAAAATATTAAAGATCTATAGAATTTTTATTGATTACTTATTGGATTTGACAGCACTTTCTTCCCCAAAATTGCTAAAAACAAAACAAAAATTAATTAAGCATTTTATATGCAGAAATGAACCCTTCTGTAGGTTAACTACACTCAATACAATTGGTTATAATTTTATCTCAGCTTGATATTTATTTATTCAAATAACATTATTATTAATACTGTAAAAGCAATTATTCTAACAAAATACTGGCGATGTTTGTCAATACCAACTGATCCATCCTACATACATTTGCCTCAAACACACTCCTAGCATTAACCAGCTGGAAACTACAAAAGATGTGAGTGAAATGAAAACACTCCAGAGAAAATATGTCCATTATGTTTGTGAGTTTTTTTTTTTTTACACTTTATCATAAGCTGTACTACTAGCTTGCTTTTTATATACACTAATGTATATAAATTATTATAGCTAAAGTGTTTTTGTAATATTTTTTTAATATACTGATAGCTTGTTTTAAACTTTAAATGGTTAAATTCACTAAAGTCTTTTTGTTCTGCATGTGACCTGGTGGGGGATGCATATATACCTGTGCTTATTTTAGCAAATGTGGTCATCTGTTTTGACCTCACCAATCTCTTTCATATATAATATATATATATATATATATATAGCGCCACATACAAGGGGTGCTAAAAAATTTCTTGGCCCACTGAAGAAGGGGATTACCTAGATTCATGAACCCTATTACATAATATAATTCAGTTGGCATGTGGCACACTGTTTCTAAACTTTCTTTAACTCTACAAGAAAGAAAAATATTCTGATGTTTGGTGATTGAAATACTGCTCTGTTACATCTCCCCCATCTCTTTCAGACATTTTTTAAAGTATAGAAACAAGAAATAGATGGAGCAAGGTCTGGTGATTAGTGTGGGTGGTCTTAGCACTGAAACCACAAATTCTTTAGCACGGCACTTGTCTTGTCATCCTTGAGAGCAGAGGTGCATTATCCTGCAAAAAATAAAGCATCTTTCCACCGTTTCCCTCACTGTTGCTTTTTTTTTTTTTTTTTTTTTTTTTTTTTTTTTTTTTATGTGTCAATTAAAGTTGGACATTGAAAATTGGATTAGTATTCTGCATTAATTGTTTGGCCTTTCTGAAGATCATCAGCCAAATATTTTCATTATACCAAGAAACTCTGGCCATGATTTTTCTTGCTGACTTTTGAGTTCAAATTTCTTTGGCTGTAAAGAAGCAGAATGCTGTCATTGAACGATTGTTTGGTGTCTGGATCATAACATCTAATTTGGTGTCTGGATCATAACATCTAATTTGGTGTCTGGATCATAACATCTAATCATGTTTCATCAACAGTGACAAGTTGTTTCAAAAAATTATCGCTCAATTGTTGAAAATGCTGCAAAATGAATTTGGAGGTGTTCATTTGATATTTTTTCTGATTGGCATTCAAACATTTTTTCGCATCCACTTAGTTAATAGCTTCTGCTTATATTTTTAGTGTCTCCATATTTTTTTTTCCTGAAATTCTTTCATAACCAAAATTATATTATTACCATGTAAACAATTTCAAAAATTGAAACCATTAAAAAATCTCTCAGACTGTGCTGCGTCTAAGAAGTTGGTACATTGCTTCTCCACAGTTGAATATGATAGACATTTGTCACCCAATGTTTGCATCATAGATTTCTTTTGAATATTTTTTTATGCAAAAACAAACTTCATAACAGCTTGGTATACAACACTTGAAAATTCCACATTTACTATTGATATGGTTCAGTCAATGCTTTGAAATAAAAAAAAAAAAAAAAAAAAAAAAAAGTAAGCATAAGAATTCTGCAAATTGGTACTTTACCTTTAAAAGAACATTCTTTCCAATTAATATGCCAAAATAATGCTCAAATTTTGGGAAGTGGGTTGGGCCGAGAACTTTTCATTAGTTCCTTGATGTAGGTTTCAAGGAGGCTTCTCTTCATTTATGGATAACACATGACAAAACAACAAATACCATTTACTTTTTAAGCTTTTCTTTCCAGTTTCTTTTCAATAATTATGACATTGAAATTGTTTATTCTAAAACTGATAACATAGAAAATGAAATTAAATTTCTGATGAGATTTGAATTTGTATCCTGTATTGTTGCTTGGACATTATCCCAGTCACCATTATCTCCTTTGGGACAACTTGTTTTTCAAAAAGTAACTATTGTCTCCTCTTTACTGTGACTAACCTATATATATATATATATATATATATATATTTTTTTTTTTTTTTCTGTCCATAATGCCAGTTTTTTATTATTATTTTTTTTTTTATGGTATGGTAATCAGCAATAGGTAAGATCCCCTTACCTATTTCAGTGAAGAATATTAAAAAGAAAACATGTTGGACAGTATCTTGAAGATTACTGAAACTTCATGTTCCCTGGTTTCGTTTTGTGCATTTATTACAAAATTATGGCATTGCAATATTACTAATATGAATAAAGAGATTAGTCAGTGAGAAGTATGCTTGTGTGTATAAAACTAATATAGCATGTAAAATAAAATAAGATAGCATTATAGGAAAAGGGAATGTTAAAACAAAAAATAACATTTGTGTTGGTTTCATGGAATATTGTTGCTTGAAGGTAGAGAAGGTTGTAAGGATTTTCTGATGGTCTGCACTTCTCTTCAACTGAAATATTATCAAATAATAGGTTACATATAAATATTTGTGTACCTCTGTATACATGGTTGTATGCATATTTGTGTATATGTTTTAAGTGTTTGATATAATGTATTTCAGGTGTTGATTTACATAAATATAATATTGATTTTCAGTATAGATTTAATGTATTATTGATCAATTGCGTCTTAATTTCTTTAAACTCTGCCGGGACAAAATTTAATTTGCTAATAAAGATATTTTAAATTCAGATATAATTCTGTTATGCTGATATCTAAAAATTACTTTTCTTTCTTTTTCTCTTCCTTTCCAAAGATCTGATACATAAGAATAAAGAGGGGGGGGAAACAAAAAAAACCCTGAAATGAAAGAAAAAAACAAATTTTATTTTTTAAATCTTTCTTGTGATAAAGATCCCCAGACTGGCATGTCTACCTTTCAGCTATGAATGCATCGAGCCAAGTCGGCCATTGCTTGGTGGATTAATCTGTTTTGTAATAGACCTCTAGGGTCTTTTCTTGTGCAGTGGGAAAAATCGACGAAAACAGATATTTGTGTTTTATAGCCATATCTTGGGGCTTTCAGTTTTGTGAGCATGTTAATAGTGTTGGAAAAGCATATATATTCATCTAATTATTGTTAATAACACATCCAGCCATGCTCGAGTGTGTTTTCTTCCTTCCCTTTTTCTTTTTTCCTTTTGTAAAGAAGAGATTGATGATTTTTAAAGATGGAAATAAGAAAGACAGAAAGAGATTCCTTATTATCTCGTAGGTTATCAAGGTGAATGAAATAAATAATTTCATATATCACTAATTTTTCCAGATTTTAATTGAATTTAAATTTAATTTAGTTAAGTCTAGTTCTGAAACATTAATTTTTTTCTTGTAAAAATAATATGAAATTTTTTTTTTTTTTTTTTTTAAATCAATACTAAAGGAAATTGAAATGAAAATTTACTTGATTTGTAATTTTTTGTTCTGTATCACAGATTTCCTTAAGATTAAAAATTAACTAATTTGATTAATCCAATATTAAAAAAAAAAAAAGTTTTTTTTTTTTTATTTTTCCCCTTTCCTGAAGATGATACTGTTTCATAGAAAAGTTGTTTGACATATCTTTCCATATTAAGTAAAAAAAACAATTTTTTTTTTTTTTTTATCTTTAACCAGAATACTGCCACTTCCATGCCATCTGCTGAGGATGAAGATTGTATAGACAAGTCTTTGCTGGATGCTTCGTTGACATCAGAGAAGAAGAAGAAAAAGAAGAAAAAGAAAGCAGTTAAAATTTCTGGAGCATCAAACAGTTCTACACCAAATAACAAACAGGTCTGTAAATTATTTACAACAAATTTATCCTTAAAAGCTGTTTTAAGACAGCAGAATAACATTTACTTAAACTTTATTAATGCCAATAATTTATTAGTTGACATCATGATAAAATAAACCATAATGGAGAACTTGTTGCTAAACTAGAGGATTTAATCCAGCCTGTTAATTGTGATGCTATTGCAATTATGCCTGTCTGTGTACAAGCATTATGGAAGCAATTAAGTGACCAAGGAACTTTTTTTTTTTTTTTTTTTTTTAGCAGATTTAGAACATTGTCAGATTAAAATTTATTTTCATAAATAATCATTGAGTTTTAAACTATTTGATTAGTATCTCGTTTTTTAAGCAAGAATTTTGACTTGAAATATTTTCTCATCAAATTTTACAACTTATTTAAAATTGGCCTATATTTTCAATTTGCTTTTGATATTAAACCTAAAAAGATTAAATCTTGAGTAACAACTTTGAAAAGTCCTTTACTCTAGACTCATGTATCAAATGAATTGGTCTCTGATCTTTCACTTGAATAGAAGTTAAAAAGAACACTTGGCTGGCAAAGAAAAAATTTTATTGCACTCTTAAATTACATTTTTAAAAGATTTCTGTTATTACATTTCTGTATTTAAAAAAAAATTAATTGCTTTTTGAAAATAAATTTGATGGAATTACAAAAATAAATAAATAAATTATATTTAGATCTTTGCAAATTTGCACCACTTTTAATTTGGAACAAAACAACCCAAAATTTCTCATTTTGTTAAAATTTTTGTTTGCTGGATTTGATACAGTTGTATAAATTATGTACGTGTAAATTTTTCTTGATATTTTACTTGATGTTTAGAAAGTTCGAGAAATTTTTGCTCAATTGATGAGCTATAAAAAACAAAAAAAAAAAATGTAGAGACATATTTTTGGTGAGTGATCTTTAAAATATGCACAAAATAAAAATGTTTAAAAAATTTGCAGCAGTTCAACAATTAAAATTATGCACATGAAAGATATGTGTAGACATTTTGTGCCACATTTAGCATTGGCAATCTTTCTTAAATGTGGGAAGAGAATGAAATCAACAAAAAGATTTGAGTTCCCCATTATCTTTTGCCCCCCCCTCCCCCAATGGTATCATGAAAAAAGATATTGCTGGCATTCCACAATGGTTGGTGGACATTAGAATGCATGAGTGAGCATTTGTTTCTGATTCTTAGTCTTATTTTTCTTAGTATTATTCTTATTATTAGTCTTATTATTTTACTAATTATGCTTATCTTTAATCTTTTAAGTCTTTTTTTTTTTTAAATTCATTCTATTTCTAACAAACAAAAAAATCTATTATTCAATCAATACAAGGGCCCAATAGCCACTCAAGGTAGAGGTTTACTAAATGAGGTTTATGTAAGCGCAGACAAGGAGGAAGCAAGAGGTTCACATTATGGGGATATGTAAGATAGATAATGGTTGACCCTCAGCTTGAAGAAATTAATATTGTAATGATTGGGAAGCATCCTTTCGGGAGTGTTCCACAATGAAAAAGGTCTGAGTGGAATTTCCTCCTCACTAATGGAATATGAAACCAAACGTGTTTATGTTGTTTGGTCTGTTGAACTTAGACACCCTCCTGTGGAATATAGCTTCACCTTGCTAGGTGCTGGTGTTGTGGTTTCTAGGGTTGAGTTATTAGCCCATGCCCAACCAATTTTGAATTCAGAATTTTCCTTCTCCTAGACTGGCTGCCAACCAAGACTAGAGAGCTTAGTCTGCACTGCTTTTTAACCCATAACTTGGTGGTAGTGGGTGGGGAGGGAAAAGTAATGCCTTTTCCAAGTAAATGCACTGGCTTTGAAATTTGAACTTGGTACACTGATCTTACTTTCTATGCTGATAGCAGGTATACTATACAAATATACGTGTGTTTATTGCCATCTTAATTTTTGTTAATGTAAATTTGTATTTACTGTTTTGCTTTTACTATAAACAAAATCAAAACCAACAAATATTGTTTGCAGTTAAAAATGTGATTTCATTTATGTTTAAATGAAACGTTTTAGACCTTAAATTTTAGATCTAATCTGTATAAATTGAAAGAATTGTGTTATTTTTACTCTTAGGTGTTAAACACATCATCTGGAGACCCAAAGAGTAACAGCCGAGTGTTAGCTTCTGGACTGGTAGTTGAGGATACCCAACTTGGCCAAGGTAGTGAAGCTCGTATAGGTAGACAGGTATGTAATTTAATTTTAATTAATTTTCTTCTCTTTCTCACTTATGTTTGTAAAAGGTAATAAAAGTCTGGCTTAATTTGTTTTCATTCCATTGTCTTGCTTGATAGCCTTTGCCTCCAGTTGTCTTTTGTTTATTTATTTATTTATTTATTTTTTTTTATATCCATCTTTTTATTGACCTATATGCAGCCAAGTCTGGCACAAGACTACATTTATTAAGTGTTTGATGAAAACAGAACTCCATGTTTTTCATTGAATGATGAAATCCATTTTGGAAGATTATGTAAAGTTAATCTGTCTTCTGCTGTGAGTTGGGTTTGAGGATATTGTACCAGGCATTGTATCTGTTATAATTGGCACTTAATCTCTCTCCCAACTCAAGCTATAACAACATAAACAAAAGATAGGATTGAATTTTTTAATAGGGCTCGTCTGTGAATGAATTAGATCAGTGCCATAATTCCTATCCTCTGATTTCCTTTTCTGATTTTCAATGTATTTTTATAGAAAAATCAAGTAATACATTTACATTATATACATAATAGCCCCTATAGTAATAATTATATTTAATTCTTGGCCTACTGAAAATACCTTTTTTTTTTTTTTTTTTTTTTTTAATACAAACTGAGGGTCAAATCTTTGTAAAATAAAATCAAGTAAACAAAACAAAAAAAAACTCCACAAAATTCAGTGTTTAATCATTAAATTTTTCCTCTTGTCACCAGAAATATTTAAATTTCTAGTGCATAAAATGAATAGGCATAAAGTCAGTGGGCAAAATTAAAAGTTAAAACTTTGATCAAGTAGTTAATACAATCATAATTTCATTTTTCTTCTACCACCAGAAAATAATGTATCATTTTACATAAAATCATTTGAGTAAATAAAAGTTTTGGCATGTTCATTTTATAAATCCTAATGGTGACATTCCTGATTACATAAAGTTAATTCTTTTAAATAATATATTGTTTTTGTTTATCACTGTCTATGGTTACATTACGATTAAATAAAAATAAGTGTATTTCTCTTCATTAAATCTGTTATTGTATTGATTGTTTTTCATTATTTATGCTAGAGGAATCTTTATATTTTTACTGCACTAACATCTGCTTCTTCTATCACAGAAGTCATATAAGGAATGATTGAATATCCCTTAATTCCCCTGTTCATCTACATACACAGAAAGTAATTTATTATCATTATGGTTAATGTTATCAAAATTAGTTGATTACAAAGCTTCTATTTAAAATGAATTACAAATTTTAATTTCAAATTACTAAATTTCATATATATTTCATATTTTTTTTTTTTATAATGTAAAGATTTTTATAAGACTAAACTTTTCAATTTTTATATCCTTTGCTTAATGTTATCAACCAGTTATTGTTATCTAAAAGATTGTCTTCCCAAAATGATCACAATAAGCAAATTATACAGCACAGTTCAAAATTTAAAGACAACCTCAAACTTCCGTAAATTTTTAAATTATCTACTTGTAAATGTTTTGTGCCCCATTTTTTTTTTTTTTTACAGAGAATATATGTTGACATCATGAGTGTCATTTACATTGCTAAACTTCATAGTCTGTTGCAGGGCATTATATTTGAGGGGAAAAATAACTGCTAATCAACAAATATGTCTGCGTATTCCAGAGACAAAAATACTAGCTTGTGAGTAATTTGTATGATTTCTTAGCTTTAATCAACCACAGGAGAGAAGTGTACAAATCCTTTATTAATTTCCTGATTATATGATTCCATTCTTTCTGGCTATGTTACTATAATTCTTCAACTTTCTAGGGTAATCGTTCTTTTGTTTTTTTAATCCCCCAAAGCATTATACTCTGGCCTCCAAACTTTACTGTTTTTGTAGTAAAGTGAGGGTCAGTTTTTCATTTTGGTCTTCTAACAAATTCTCTCTTGTTAGAATTTAATAAAATTTTTATTATAAAAAAATACATTTCATGCATCTTTGACCATTCAATTCTTGTTCAACACTTAAACAAAAAATATTTTTACCAAGATTTTCTGAAAAGGAAATAATTCTAAAATAATTTCATTCATTTCTGAATAAATCCTGAAAGTTTCATTAAAATCTGCCACTTATTTGATTTTTGCAAGAATTTCCAAATCCATGTGCTTTTTCACCACAAAAAAATGCTAAAATTTCCTATATTAATCTTTGGTCCTCCACTGATGAAAAAAAAAAAAAAAAAAAAATTTTAATGTTCTAAAAAGGATCAAAAAATATAATTTAATAATCAAAAAATCATTTGGACTTTCTTTTTAATCACACAAAGATTTTAATGATAAAACTGTTTTTTTTATTAATTCAGGGGCATTTTTGGTGGCATAATTAACTTAGTTCTGACTATTAGTTTGGAGCTATACTCAGTAGTGGTTGGACTTCAGTAAAACTAGCTTGCTTTTTTTTTTTTTTTTAAAGCAAATTACCCCAAGCAAGGTGGAAGTGCCATTAATATGCAAGGGGTCACAGAGAGTAAGAGTAAAGTGCATTGTTTGGGAAAAGGATAAAGAGGACAGGGATCGAGGTCAAGGCATCAGAAGATGTCGATTGACATTACATTTGAATATTTGAAGATTATAACTATTAGGGAAGCAAGTGATAGGAAGGGAGTTCCACTGAGGGGAGATGCGAGATAAGAAGCTGTTGAAGTACAAGAGATGGCTACATTTAGTTGTTTCGACAATGAAAGGGTGGGACCGAGATACCAACCTAGTAGCACACTTGCTAATCATTGTTCTATAGAAGGTACCCAAGACATATTTAGTAAGTTTAGTCTACCTGAAGTAAGCAGTTATAGGACACACTGTAAGGATCAATTTCAATATTAATGGTTTGTAGTATCAGATAAGTATATAATTTAATTTTATATAATTTAATTTTTTTTTGTTAGGTCCATGTTTATTACAGTGGAAAATTGGCAAAGAATGGGAAAATGTTTGATCATTGCATCAGTGGGAAACCTTTTCGGTTTGCATTAGGAAGAGGAGAAGTGATTCCAGGATGGGACAAAGGACTTGTTGGTAAGTTATGAAGAAACAATCTAATTTAATGCAAGGAGTCAGTATTTTAAATATTTTTTAATAAAATATGAAACAAAAAAATTGAGAATCAGCACTTTTGTGAAATATTTGAACACACACGTTCACAAATTCAAACTCCAAATATAATGTTGCAACATATGACATAAAAACTTTGAATTCAAAATGATCAAAATAAACTTTGCTGAAAGGAGATATCTACCTTTATTGAAAATAATTTTACTTCTTGAAGATGAAGTGGCTGAAAGTGCTTCGAGAAATAATATCAGGATATATAATCTTGAACCATTAAAAACATTGTATGCCTCTGTGTGTGCGTATGTGCTGTAAAACAATTAGTATGAAAAGATTATTTAGAAAAGCAAACAACATATTTGCTTTTATTTATGCAACTCATAAACGTGAGAATAGATGTTAATGTTGTTTAAGCCAAATCTATTACAGCGTTACTTCCCTTTGATCAGTTTTAACAAATACCAAATTCTTAGCAGACGTTCTTTTTATGGTCCTTAAGCAGCAAATTTAGAAATATTTACTTCAATTATTCAGCTGTAAATTATAATTACTAATTTTAAACTGTAGATCTGAAAACAACTGAATATTCCTGGTTAGTTTTAAAGATTTTGATCATAGAACAAACTGTAAAAATATATTTATCTCTATTTAAAATCAGAATCTTTTTCTTAGTCCTTGGTTATTATTAAGGTATTGAATTACTTTCTAGCATTTTACCAATTCTTCCCATTATTTTTAAGTTGTATCAACAAATCCTTTATAAATATTTTATAATATTTGTTTGTCAAAAATTGTTCATTTTTTAAGATTATGATTCTTGTATTTAAATTTATGCAATATAAATCCGTTATATTCCTTAATTATCTTCAATGTTGTTATTTATCCAATGCTTATTTGTGGTTTTTTAACATTATTGCTTATCAATTTTATTTTGATATAATTTTATTATCTCTTTATGAATTTTTAAGATTGTAAATGTTTCATTAATCATTAAAAAATTTCTTTTTGTTTTAGGCATGAGAGTTGGTGGCAAGAGAAAACTTACTATTCCAGCAAAATTGGGGTAAGAATTAATTTTTTTTTTTTTTTTTTTTTTTTTAATTCAAGTCATACCTTAATTTTTGTTTACTTGAATATCTGAACATCTCTTACAGGTGCAAGCATGTTCATTTTGTGTCCTCATGGGGGTGAGGTATAGTTTTCAACCCTTTTCCTTTGAGGATAAGAACTTGAGATGATTATGCATTAGATACAATGACAATCATTTCTTAAGAAAACTGTTGAAGTTACAGCATGATTTTGTTTTTAAATCTGTCTTAAATTATGGTAGGATATTCATACCATAAAATACTGTAATTGAGTCAACATGTTAATGTTCTGGGAGATATTTGTCAAAACAGATGATATGCTAAGTTTCAAGCTAAATACATTATTACAATCATTCAGTGAGATTAGAATGTTTCTTCCATATAAAAATATTATAGAAAAGCACATTATTTATATTATTCAGACTATTGTCCACATCTTTGTCGCCATATTTATTACAATGTTTTGGCTGTTGTATGCTCCAGGCTTCTTCGGGTGGTTGGAATGTCGAATTAAACCCTTTATTTTGCTCACTGGGGTAGACTGTTCTAGTTCCACGTGCCATATTTAATGGATGTCAGTTATCAGTTATCTCCTGTGAATTTCCCTCTGAAAGTTCTCCACTGCCTTAGCTGGGTATTGAACTCAGTCTTTGGGTCCTGTCACTGGATCTAACACCTTTATCCTCAAGGACATGTCACAGTGGATAAAGGCGAAGAATCACTGAAGAAGCCTGGAGCGTACAACAGCCAAAACATAATAAATATAGCAACAAAGGTACATAATACCTCATCTCGGAAATATAGACAGAAAAAAAAAGAAAGTATTATGAAAAAGCAGAATGTTTGTAAAAATGTTGAGATTTATAAGTAGCTAAAACAATGAATTTTAATCATCTGAATGTTTTATAAAATAACTCTTCTCAAAATTGTTGCCAGTATTTCAAGATTTATTCTTTAGACAAAATGTAATAATTATTTCTCTCAAATATACCTAGTTCAAAGTCTAGTTCAAAGTTTTTGTGTATATTTGCTTTAAATAAATAAAGCTTGCATGTTATTTAAATGAAATTCTGTTGATATTTCTTCATTATGTGTATGCCAAACTACAACAATTTCCATTTTCAAAGCAATTTAGGATTGATTAGACAATAAATAATAAAAAGTTTAATTATAAGAAGGTTACAAAGGACATGGTTTTCTCCTCCTCCATCCAAGGCAGGGTTAACTTTGCACAATTATAGATAATGAATATGAATGAACTTCTAGATAACAGACATATTCAACCTTGTTTTGGCATTATGTAATAGCTATAGAGAGAGAGAGAGAGAGAGAGAAGGATCCAGGCATTTGAGAACAAATGCATGAAATAACTCCTTCACATTTTCTATTGGGAACAAAAAAAAAACAATGAGTGTGTGGAAAAGGGCTGAAAGTTTTGTGGGATACCAAGAATCTCTTGTCAAATGGAGAAAAATATTGTGGTTTAGACACATTACAAAGTACGACATGCAAGGCACTGTTGAATGTGGATGTAGGAGAGGTCGGCAACGCAAAAACTGGTTGGACAATGTCAAACAATGGACAGGTATGACTGTACCAGAATTGCTGATGGCTGCTGTTGATAGACCATTGTGGAAAAGAGTTAGTGATTTCTGCATTCGAATCTGCCCTATGATTACGAAATTCAAGGGCTGATGATGAATGCCTATACATTAGTTGTAGTGTATAAAAGTAGTTTTCATGATAAATTTAATATTACTTTATTTATTAATTCACCTAATGTATCATTACTTGTTTTCTTTAAGCTGACCTTGTCATCAAAGTAAATGTAAAATGTTTAAAGCAGTTAGATAACTAAATTGTTTCATGGCAAATTTTAACCACTTTGTAATTTTTATTTATGGGATTTTGTTATTAGGTCTACAAATGATTATAATCTTTTGTAGATGCACATCTCCAATACAAACTGGGCTTTCATAAAAGCTGTCACTTTCTAGGCGATAAACTGTAATATGGCTCAGTTTGACAGTCATCTCAAGATTTATGCAATTGTGTTTCTCATTTTCTGCTCTTTATTCAGCACAAATGAACTTTTTTCCTTGCTTCCTTCTCATTTAAAACATCAACCACTTTTTTTTTTTTTTGCTTGATTTGTTTCACTCTCTCAAAGAAAAAAACAAAACAAAAAACAGGTGGGGGGAACGGAGAGGCTTCATTGAGTCTTGTGATGACATTTCCACCTATTTGAGAATTATTGACTGACATGTAAAAAATAATAAAGAAAGGAAATTTTTTTTCTTTAAAATCTGTAAACATTTAATAATCAGGCTTTGGTAAAAGAAAACATTTAAAAATAGAAATAAAAAAATAACATAAGAGGAAAACATGAATTTAAAGAGAAAGAATTTTACTTAAAAAGAAGCTTTACTACAGTTCATTGAACAACTAACTGTCATACACTGTTTTTCTCCTGCATTTTATGATTCATATAGCTTTGCCTCATCCACTTTATTATTCCAATTAATTATCATCTTAAAAAATTTTAACTCTTCTTTTCCTTGTATCCATCCCATTCTAGTGTATAGAATTGAGTGCTATGATGTCTTGACACTTCACAATCTACTCAAATATTTAGTTTAAAAAGTAAATAAACAAAAAGAATCTCTTCATTGTAATAAGGCTAAATGTTTCACACGTGTTACATTAATGCATTTATTATGAATACTGTAAAGTGACCTGGTACAGCCTGGATTAAATAACAGTCCATTTTCATATATACTTTTCCTTATTGATATAATTATTGTAGCGTTTAATTCAGTGTTGATTTTGGTTAGTTCCTTTATTGCTGCTTGTTTTTCATTTCTTCCTGGGCTGAGTTAGATACATATTTAACATCAGTGCTAAAAATACAGGATTTTGAATACTGAGTTTTCAAGACAGGTATTCTGCACTTGGGTGATGGGCACAACACAATCTTTTTTTTTCCCCCAACTCTGCCTATTTAACTGAGAAACCAATTCAGAAACTGTTAGATTGGAATATGTAAAATCACAAATTAGAAATTTAGTTAAATATATATATATATATTATATATATATATATATATATATTTTCTTTTTCTTCCTAGATTTAAAATAATTGTAGAACAATCTTAGAAATATCAATTATGTTTTCAGTTGTCACAAATAATTTTTCTGTTTTCTTAAAAGTGACATTTATGTTTGCATTACCTGATATGATGTGCATGCTACATTTTCTTCTTTTTAAAGCTAAACTAAATATACAGTTAAATCACTTTTACTCTACAAACTTCTGCTATCATCTTTATCAAAATACCAGATCTACGTCTACAATTATTCATAAAGAGTGCAGTTTTTTTTTATTCTGTTTTTAATGGATGTGTGGGTGGTGGTTTAGAAGAAGAAATTGAAGAACTGAGTGTTTCATTTCATTTACATGCAGATGCCCTTGGGAAAGGAATATATCTCTTCTCTCCCCCGACTATGAATTAAAACTTGTATCTAGAAAAAAAACAAAAAAAAACATTGTTATTACTCATCAAAATTGTTAATGTAATATTCACTTGAAAAAAATTATTCTTGCAATTCCAAAAATGTTTTGGCTATAAATAATCCACAAAGTGTTAATAAACTGTAAGAAAGCAAATAAACAAATTATGGCCACATCACATTCAAATACTGATTGCTGTACAATCACTGAAGTTAAGCAACATCAAACCTGGTCAGTAGCTAGATGAGCGACTGCTTGGATGTGCAGCAGGGGCAATGGATAATGATTTGGAATTGTTAATCGGAAATCTGAATTCCAATTCCTGTTAGTTTTGTTATATTCACTTATATGCAAATACCCTTGGGGAAGATATGAATCCACCATTTAATTAGTTAAGATGTGTCACAAAACAATCATTACAACCTAAAAATATTTTCTGGCTTTAAATAACCTGCAAAGGGTTAAGATATAGAAAATGAATCCATCAAAAAAAAAAAAAAAAAAAAAATATCAATCACTTATGTTTTTAATACTTAGGCTTGTGTAACATTGACAGATGTAAAAACTAATGTTTCATTTATGTATTAACTCAGTAAAGCACAAACTAATTTGTTGTTGTTTGGAGAAAGTTAAAAATTACTTTCCAGTTGATTCAACAAAAATTATTTTTTTTATCTTTTCTCCTTTAGATAATGTTGCCATTGAAGATTGTCATATAATTAGACATGTTTCTCATTGTCATTCATTTGTAAATTTCAGTTTGTAAACTGCTTTTGTTTGAATCAAATTTGCTATTATAGACTACCCCCCCCAAAAAAAAAATTATATGAAGGGAATCTGTTCTCAGATAACACTTTTTCAGCAGATACCTGAAACTATAGATAATACAAAGCCATATATATATATATATATATATATATATATGTCATTTGCAGAGAGTGCCGTAAAATTAGGATTTGGTATTTTGTCTTTTACAAATGTATATTTGGAATGTTTCTTTTAGATTAATGAATGTTCTCAATAACATAGGTGTTTTCACTGTTTATGCAAATGCATTATTCATCATGTCTTTTTAAACAATTCTTTTAAATTGTTCAGTATTGACCTATAGTATACAGATGGAAGTAATAAGGAGGAAGATCATAATGACACATTTCATTAAAAGCATTTAAAAAAATTTGATAAAATTTAATTAAAACTAACAAATTTCTTAGTATTTGGACAAAGTCTATAAAGGCTATTTTTAAAGCAAGCAAACTGGCAATAATTGCATATATATATATATATATATATATATATATATATATATATATATAAAATAAAACGTGCATGTACACACACATAAGACCATAAATTGGCATTCAGTTGTACTTCCTGCAAGAAGACACAAACTGCCTAAAGATCTCAGCTGAATGTAAGCTTTTACATGTATATCCACTTTTTCTTCTCGCATCTTTCATGTTGATTAGATTCCAGTACCAGAATGATTGTTTAAAAAAAAAAAATTGTCACATGTCAATCACTTTTTAAAAAACTCTTCCTTTGTGTGTCACTTACCAAGTGTAATGGAAGCTACTCATAAAAGTGTCACAGTAGAGCAGGCTTTGTGAGACACTAAGAGCTATTTAATAATGGTAATTTCAAAAAAGGCATTTAAAAAAATTTCCCATCTTTTTAAGAAGTTAATAATTGTGATAATAACAGATGTCATCTGACACACTTGTGGCTTCATATGACTAGCATATTTTCCCATGATTCTTCACTAATACAGCAGTCATTATAGGCACATTAAACTTCAGTTAGAATTCTTTCACTACAGAAATCAAGATTTATGACTTTTTTCAGTAAAAATGCATGTAATGCAACAAATGTATAAATAATGATGTAATGTATGTAATATTAAACATTGAATTCAATTTAATTTTTTTATGTCCTTTACAAAGTATTTTTTCTTTTAAAGAAAATATATATATTTTTTTTATTTGCTGATATTTATACAAATACATTTTGCAGTATATTTGAAAAATATACTTTATTTTCAAATTTTGTGAAATTTAATTTACAATCATATTTATAAAATAATGAATTGAAACTTAAAAGTATTAAAATATTTTAAAAAAATCTAAAAATTTGTAAAAGGTTTTTTGGATACCTGTTTTTATACTATTACCTTAAAAATGTTAAATATTTTACATTTTAAACATATGCAGTCTGTTTTGTACTGTAACCTTTGGCAGATGAAATATGAAGATAACCATTTATTATAGTTAAAGATAAATGTTATTCAGTTTTGTTAATCAAGATCAGACAAATTGCAAACATTTTATTTAAAACAAATGAAAAGTAATTTCAAGTTATACATTTTTATATTTAATATTATCTGGTTAATGCTAAAGTGATAAAAATAAATGGATTCTGTATATAGGATATAGCCGTGTTGGTAAATAAAAATTATCTGCTAATTTCTATCTAGGAATTTGATTTCTTTAAATGCTATTCAGTCAAATAGCGAGTGAGTAAGTTCCTAAATTGCCATGAAGCTTCTAAGCATTTATTTGTCTCTTATTAGAAATTCAGTGGCTTTGTTTAGACTAACTGAAGATTATTCCTGGTTCTGGGATTATCTTTACTATGTACTTGGTGGATTTCATTTTCTGCTTTTAAATTGGGAATACCAATTAATACAAATGTAAAATTTTATAAAATAGGAGAAATGTTGTATTGGTTGAATTTATTAGTTATTGTCAGTTTTTATTTCTGTTTTTATTTTTGTTTTTATTTCAATTGTGGTTAGTAAGGAGAATGGATAGAAAAAAAAAAAAAGATATTTGATCTTGCATCTATCTTTCTTGAAAAACTTGCTTATGCAGCAAGGAATTGTCAACAGTTAAAATATTTAAAAATTTAAGTCCATATAGAGTAAGTTTTAGACTTACCTGCGAGTTTTCCACTTCAGTTTTCTAAAAAGTGATCTAGTTCAATTTAGAACTGATGCATTCGACTCTCCACATGATGATTTAATTATAGTGGTGAATATTTTATTGTCATCACAGTTTAATAATGTGAAAGCTTTGGGACAGTACATGTACTTAAACTGGAAAGATGTCATTTGAATTCAGAGTTTCTTTCTCTTAGACTAGATGCCACTCAAGAGTACTTTGTATTTGTTTTCATTGGTCAGATAGATCTCGTGTTTATATCTTGTAGAGTTAGCATGTGTGTGTATTTGTATCTGAAAATGAAGTACTGCTGGCATATTTCCACTGGAGCTGCCCAATCTTCAGAGTCCAAAAGCCTCTCTCTGACCTTGTGGGGACAAATTATCTTTTCCCACAGATGAAATGTTGCAAGCCTCTTCCTAATCTATCATTATTACTATAGCAAGAATTCAGAGGAACTACATTCCTTACTTCTACCAGTTCTAACCTTCACAGCTAAGACCCCCACCCCATGCCAGGCACATTGTAGTTAACCACTCATTTCCTTCATATTCCATTGGCGACATACAAGTTCGACTTGACCATTATCTTTCCCACATATCCCATAAACTGTGGCTCTTATTCTGTAACCCTATGCCTCAAGTGGCTCTCGGGCTTAGTACAGTGAACATTATTGTAAATATATAAAAAATACATTTTAAAAAAATCTTGACAAATATGGAAACTAATATTGTCATGTGACTTTTGATCCTTGTACAGGGTAAACATTATTGTAAATAATATAATTGAACAGATTTTAAAATGTTTTTTTTCTTTTTTTTTTTGCTTGTCCCCAATTATAATTTTTTTTTTTTTTTTTTTTTTGTTGCCTTCATTTATTTTCTTTCTTTTTCAGTTATGGCAGTCAACAAGCGGGCCCAATACCTCCAAACAGTTCATTGATTTTTGACATTGAACTAAAAGCTGTCAGTTAAATAGGCAAAAATCAAAGGAATAAAAATAATTTGGACTTACAGGTTTTTTTTTTTTTTTAGTATTTCTATGACTGGTGGCGCATTTCCTGCATTTTCAAAGTTGACAATTTTATATCAGTGTTTCTAAAACTTGTGCTTTGAGTTTTGACTTCCTACAAATATCAAAAATAGTTTCGCCTTAAAGAAAGACAATCATCAAGTTCATATTCAGATAAGGTTTGAAGTTGTCTTTCACAAAAAAATTTCATATTGAAAAATTTATTGGATAAAATACCATAGAAATTTAACACTTAAAAAAAAAAAAAAAAAATGAAAATTGCAGTTTCTTGTTGAGCAATGTCTCATCTTTCATAATCACTCGGTTTCATATCTATGCATATACAACATGAAGTGCGCATAAATACATTCATTTTCTGCAAGACCATTGTATTTGTATTGCTAAGTGAATGAATGTCGCCAGCTAAGCCACCCATTTTAAATAAGAATTGTTTCATCAATGAATATTACACCATTTAAAACTTTTTTCCTTGTATTTTCTTTAATGATTCATTTTAAAACTACTTTTGTCCAAACTGTCAATCACTTCCACGTCAGCTGTTGTTTTTACCCATTTTTTTTAAAAAACATTAAATAGAATTAATGTTATAAAATAAAAATAATAAGTCTATAAACTGGATGCATTTTTGTTCTTTAAAATTTATATCTTTGTTTGTAAGATCATCCCATTAGCTAGGACTTCAGAATATGCTAACTGCACCTCTGCAATGAGTCCACCTGTTTGCCATGGGTAGTAATCCATATTGTCTGGAGATGTGATCCTGTTAGGTGTCTGGTTTAGATACTTCTATTCCCAACACACCACTTTGGCTCTTCCTTGGGCTAGGCAGGCAGTTGGAGTAGCTAGATTTGATTATCAGCTGGTCATGTCAAGTCCTTATTTGGTTTCTCCCAAATTAGAAGGTGTAGCGTCAATCATGCCAAAGAAGGAATGAGGTTAGTAGTAATCTTGGGCATCAAAAAAAAAAAAAAAAAACTAGTGTGAGTATACTGACTAGGTAGCCCCTGATAAGCCAAGGTAAATGGGTTTCCCCCTTGGTATATCCCAGTGTGGAGCTCTATGTTGGGTGGGGAGCCCAGTTAATGAACTCCAAATAATGTTTTATGGCTAATCTCCCAAACTTCTAAGCAATTGCACACACAAATAGAATTGGATGAGGAGAGAGCATATCCTCCTCAAGATGCATAATCTTGGAATCAGAGAAGACTCCACTCATGAAACACCCTGTTTTTGATACAAAAAGTAATATCTTCTCCAGTAATGCCAAACAACATTAAAAGCCTAAAAATGGAGCAATACTTGAAGTAGAAAAAGACACTGACACATTTCGGAAAACGAAATAATTCCATGAATTAAAAATCAAGGACAACCCCCACAAAACATTGAACACCTCAAAGAGAGTGATAAGAAGCAGGGAGCTGTCTCACTGCTCCATGGAAGAAATAAAAACTGGATTAAAAAAAAATATATCATGACCATAAAGCACACTAGAAATATCTATCAGGAATCATTCCTGATAAATGCTTCTAGAAAACCAGGGAAGGTTATATAAAAAAAAATGTGCCCTACTCACCGATCACAAAAAAATAATACAAATAAGAATAAATATGAAACTGATAAAAAAAATTAATGCAACTGTGTCCAAATGATTGGCCAAAATTTATACAAGAAATTAAACCTAATTTGAACAATAAAAGGGAAACTAATGTAAAAGAACATTTTGTCAGAACCCACTCCCAAAAAATACCCCCAAAGATTAATGCTACTGAACAGAGATCAAAGATCTCCAATCTCCACCACACCCCACCTGCCAAATCCCACTCAACAGAATACTCATCATCCAGGATCTCACAAGAGAGATCCTCTAAAGACTCTAAACAAACAATAAAAACAAAGACACGGATGAAATTGAAACAAAAAAAAAAAAAAATTGATTTGATTCCATAGACTAAATGGAAATAGAGGAAGTCCTTGCACCACCAAAAACAAAACTAAAAGACAAAAACACAAAATCCTATTCCACAAATTAACAATCCACTTAACTATTAACCTAAATTCCTAAACAACCAAAAACAATGACAAACAACAATGCAGTGGAATATAAGTTATTTTTATTGAATTAACACAACTGACTACAACTTATTACCCAGCAATAATATGCCTACAGGAAACCTATCTGAAAGAAATAGATAGATTTAACATTAAATAGTACTCAACATACAACTATATAAAAAAAAAAAAAAAAAGTCTCAGGTGGCACATCAATAAACTCCAATGACAATATCCTGCATAGTGACTACAAAACTAAGTTGGACCAGCTGCCCAAACAACAAATTATACATCAAAGCCACTATAGAAGAATGGCGCTAAAAACAAGGAAGGATGAAGTAATAATATCCAGACTTCATATTGGACAATCTGTAATATATTCTAAAACAGCACCACCTACAATCTGTATGGTATGTCAAAAACTATGCACAATAAAACACATATAAACAAATTATAGCAATTTCACCCAAATCTGTTTAAAATGCTACCAAACAACCAACAGGAAAGAACTTTCATGACATTAATCCATATGATATCCTACAATTTCTTTAAAAAAAATAAAAAATAAAAATAAAAATTTACAAAAGCTGAGCATCTACTGTGAAAGCAGAATAACATTTTTATTACTTCAAAGATACCAAAGAAAATTAAATTTAGACATTAAATAGCCCATAAGATATTGATATGGTGTTAAACAAATCAGTCTATCAAATTTCCATAAATTAAAATAAGATATTTTTAAAGTGTCCAATTTTCCTTTTAATGATCATTCATTTCATTTACATTCATGGCTGGTAATATTTTCTTTAATTATCAGGATTTGGTACCTGAAATTTATATTTTCATTTAAAAAATGAAACTGAATACATTTTATAAAAAAATAAAATAAAAATGAACTGACTATATGCTTTGGCTTATGTTTAGGTGCATGGGTCTGTAAAAATTGAAATGTATTTAATTTTCAAAATCTAATCAGTTTTTTCCCAATTATTCTTTGCTTTCTAATTTTAGGGATTATGTCCTATTTCAATGTTAAAATGAAATTTTTACATTTTCTTAAAAACAAAACAAAATGGATGCATTTCTTCAACTTTTGCAAACATTCATCGTATTTTTTTTTTTTTTTTTTTTTTTTTTTTTAAACAGTTATAACATTGTATGGAAGATAAGCTTACCATCTTTTTAAGCTGGTATCTGTTCCTTTTTTTTTCTCTTTTCTGTATTACTTTTTTAAAAGGCTTCATGGATGGGCTGATAAATTTTTAACATCTTGTGTGAGTATGTGAAATATATATATCACGCACTCACACGCGTTCACTGGCCAATTAAGGACATGAACAAATGCTCTTTTATGCAAATTTCCAGTCAGCCTAGAATGTGGTGGCAATTTAATGGATGTAAGCATTTAAACGTTGTAATGGTGACCTATTGAATTTCATTTTATATACATGAATATAGAAAAGAAATTTAAGTGACTTTGAACACAGAATGGTTGGGGTCAGGCAAAAGCAGGTTTGATTATTTCAAAAACTGTTGATCTGTTAGGATTTTCATGCACAACCGTCTAGGCAGGGTTTACAGAGAATGGTTAGAAAAATAAAACAAATTCCAGTAAGCAGCAATTCTGTTGGCAGAAATCAGTTGTTGATAAAAGAGCTTGGAAGAGAATGGCCAGACTGGTTGAAGCTGATAGAAAGGCAACAGTAGCTCAAATAACCAATCTTTACAATGGAAGCATACAGAAAAGCATATCGGAGCACACAATGTGTTGAACCTTGAAACAGAGACTGGTTGAAGCTGATAGAAAGGTAACAGTAGCTCAAATAACCAATCTTTACAATGGAAGCATACAGAAAAGCATATCGGAGCACACAATGTGTTGAACCTTGAAACAGAGACTGGTTGAAGCTGATAGAAAGGCAACAGTAGCTCAAATAACCAATCTTTACAATGGAAGCATACAGAAAAGCATATCGGAGCACACAATGTGTTGAACCTTGAAACAGATGGGCTGCAGAAGACCATGATGGGTGCCGCACATATTAAGAACAAGAAATTGAGATTATAATTTGCTATTGATTCATGGGATACAGCAATGAGTTTTCCTTCACAGTCACCATTAGAGCATTTATGGGATGTGGCGGAAAGGAATATTCGAATCCTGGATACAGAGTCAAGCAATCTAGAAGGATTGCATAATAAGAGCATAGACAAATTTCGAAAGAATATTCCATATCATCATAGAATCAATGTCAAGAATAACACAGTTCTAAAGGCAAGAGGGGTGGTTTAACCTGGGCCTAAATAAAGTGACTGGTTAATGTATATAAAAGAAATTTGTTTGACCAAAGCATCTCCAATATGATGTCCACCATTATTGAACCCAATCTGCATAATTATTGTTTGGCTCTGGATTTATTCATAATCATCCTGATATTATTTATCCATCTATACAACACTTCAAGCAGACAAATCAGAAAATTTCAGTTATAAATCTATTTTCGGGAAAAGAAAAATTTTTTTTCTGCATAACCTACACAACGACGTGATCATTATAATTATTTTATTAAAATATCTGAGAAATAAAAAACAAAAACTGCCAAATTTTCTTGATTGTATCTTCAAATTCTCTAAAATTTTTGTTATTTTCTATTTTCTTACATACATCCATTTAATCATCAAATACATTCCTTCATTACTGTTTTTCTTAGCTTTAAAGAAATGAAAGATTCAGTAATTGTATAATTACTGAATCTTTCATTTTTTTAATTTTTTTTTCAAAGAAAAGTCTCCCCTCTGATTAATATCTCTTTCCTATATTCTTTCTATATTTTCCTTCGTTCATTCACACTCAACATTTGCCTTTTTTTTTCTTTCTTTTCTTTCTCAAGTA